CAGGCAGTCCACTCACCTCAGCCTCCCAAAGGCGCGGGATTACAGGCTGAGCCACCGAGCCCGGCTCCATCTGTGTTTTAACGAGCCGAGTTCGGTGGCTCAGCCTACAATCCCTGTAAGCACTTTGGGATTGCATGAGCCCGCGGGTTCAAGACCAGCCCAGCAACTTGGTGAGACATCGTCTCTACAATAAATTAAAAAATAAGTCAGGCGTGATAGCGCACGCCTGTAGTTCCGGCTACTTGGAAGGCTGAGGCGGAAGGATCCCTGTAGCCCAGCAGGTTGATGCTGGGTGGCAGTGAGTGTGCTACTGTACTCCAGCCTTGGTGACAGATTGAAACTCCAACTCAAAAAAAGAAGAAAAAAAACTCTGTGGGCCTTTGATGCACACCAAAGTTTGGGAATCATTGGCCTTGGCATTGACAGTGCTTCATTTGTTCAGCGTTTGTATGTGCATTAGAAAGTTTCTCTTTTCAGCCACTCTCCTGTCCACTGTCTGCTTTGTTACAGACACTAGTCAACTTAGGCAGCGTCTAGAGCAATGGGAGAGAAGGAAACCAGGGCATGTGATCCCATTTTCTTTTTCTTTTTCTTTTCTTTTTTTTTTTTTTGAGTTGAAGTCTCACTCTGTCGCCCAGGCTGGAGGGCCGTGGCACGCCCCTGGCCACCGCAGCCTCGACTTGCTGGGCTCCGGCGATCCTTCCGCCTCAGCCTTCCGAGAAGCTGGAACTACAGGCGCACGCTACCACGCCCGGCTAACTCGTTTTCAACATGTATGAGAATGTGTATGACTAGGCGGGGACTGATGTTTCATAGTCTACTAATGTGTTCAGGACTTCCATAAAACTGAGTTTATAGGTAAGTATGAGCACTTCTGTTGGTCCTCTTGTAAATAATGGTAGGTAAGATCCTTGATCACTCTCCTGAATTCACACAGGGATAGGCACATGAAAAACTTATTGGTCTTATTCACCCTTGTTCCTTCTCTTCTATCCGTGGAAGATGTGAGAAGGAGGGCTACAAGTACTGGCTGTACTTCTTACACTTTAAGACCACATCATCTCTTAACTTAATTTACCACCCTGATTTGGATCTAGGGCTATTCATAATTATGTTTTCAGTTACTTATAGACCACATTCCAGGTATTACCAAACTATTAGTATCTGTAATCAGTTTCCTCTTAGACGTAAATGGCGTTGTAAGTGTACGCTAGTATTAGGATTCTGGAAGAAATGAACAAAAGGTCTGAGCCTACCTTGTATACCTGGAGGGCTTTTGAAATCCCTTCTCCCACAGGCATATTGCCTGGGACTGGGGATTATCTAACCTAAGGATACCATTTTGAATAGCTTTCACTTCCTGCTAACGCCTCTCTTCCTCCCACCTCCCCACATCTACCTCTTATTTATCACTGTCACCTCCCTCCTCTTCCCTGCCTTCCTTTTAACTAGTCTAACCTCACAGAACATCCTACATACCTAAAGTTTTACTCAATGTGACACAAATGCGTCCTGCATTGTGTGACTTAACTATTTCCTAAAGACAGACAGCTGTCTTTGAGAGCCTGTACTGTGTCACATGTCTTCAAGAGTTCTGCAGTAGGCATTGGTAGTACTGGGCCTCTGTTCAGTGGAAACTTGCTAAACAGAAATACTCATATCTCACCTCTACAACTAAAGTGACTGACTAAAATTGAATCAAGGCTCAATTAAGTCCTCAGTGTTCTCCCTCACACCTCCAGCTATGAAGATGCAAGGAAGTAGAGCAAAAGGGCAACTTCCTAGAGTCCACAGTTATACAGAAGTTCCCTGACATAATGATGGTTCAACTTCATGATGCTGAGGAAGTGATACACATGCAGTAGAAACCATACTTCAAACTTTGAATTTTGATTATTTCCTGGGCTAGTGATATGCAGTACAATACTCTTTTGTGATGCCACACAATTGCAAGGTAAACAACCAATACTGTGCTCTGTAGTGTCCTGTCCTGTACTGCCAGATGAGTTTGCCCAACTATAGGTGAGTGTAAGTGTTCTAAGCACATTTAAAGTAGGCTTGGCTAAGCTATGATATTCATTAGGTTAGGAGCTTTTTTGTTTTTGAATTGGAGTCTCACTCTGTCGCCCAGACTGGAGTGCAGTGGCCACTTCCGGCCACTGGAGCCTCAACCTGCTGGGCTCTGGCAATCCTTTTGCCTCAGCCTTCCAAGTAGCTGGAACTACAGGCGCGCGCTACCACGCCCGGCTGATTTTTTGGATTTATTGTAGAGATGAGGTCTCACCAAGTTGCCCAGTCGGATCTCAAACCCGCAGGCTCAAGCAATCCACTCACCTCAGCCTCCCAAAGCGTGGGATTACGGGCTGAGCCACTGAGCCCGGCCAGGTTAGGAGCTTTAAATATATTTTCAACTTATGATGGGTTAGTCGGGCATGGCCCTATCGTAAGTGAAGAAGCATCTGGCCAAGGAGGTGGGAGCAACCAATCCTGAAGCTGATTCACCAAGATCATGTTTTTATTGTGCTTGGATGGCAGATTCTTCTTGGGTAGGTTCTCTCTTGGGAGTTCTGAAAGGTCCATGTCTCTCTTAGGTGAAACCACCACCCGTTTCACATAGGGTAAAATGCAGCAATGTCCAGAAATCTCAACTCCCAATAACTATTTCACAGTTTTGTGCCATGAGAGGAGAGACAGAGAAGGCTGCCCTAGGAGAGGGGTCAGTGCTGGGCTCTAAGAAGGTGAACTGGAAGTGGTGGGAGGGGAAGGCTGCCCTGGAACTAGACAACAGCAGAGTACAAGGGAATATGTAATAAGAGGACAAAGTAGAAGAAATCTGTACCCCGGTTTATAAAGCTCATCACCAGGGTTCTGGAATCTAAACAAGGTCAGCAAAATAATCAGCACAATTGCCACTACCAGCAAGACACCACTGAACCATACATGATAATGCTCTTGCCCATCTATCCAATCCCTGAATATATCTTAGACCCCACATGTCGCAACAGTCCAGGCAGCTGCTACTAATTCATCTGAATTTGCACATGACTGTGTGAATTATTCACCATCCCAGGGCCAGGGAAGTCCTACATGAATATTTCTGAGGCTTCTTTTTGAGACAATAACTGGGGAGGAAAATCAAGTTCCAGTGTCTCCCACATCACAGGAACACACAGAAGCTCCCAATGTGACTAGAGAAGCTTATGGCTGCCAAAACGACTCCAACTCTATTTTTAAAAATTTATATTTAATTGACAAATACAATTTGAATGTATTTATCATGTACAACGTGATGTTTTGAAATATATATACATTGCAAAATATATACATTGTGAAATGACTAAATTAAGCCAATTATCATATGCATTACCTCACATACTTTTTTGTGATAACACTTAAAATCTACTCAAATATACAGTGCAGTGTTATTAACTATATTTACCATGTTGCATAATAGATCTCTAGAACTTATTCCTTTTCACTAACTGAAATTGTGCATCCTTTTACCAACATCTGAACCCATCAATGCCTCAGGCCCTAGCAATCCTCGGGAACCACTATTCCCCTCTCTGCTGCTATGAGTTTGACTTTTTTTAGATTCCACTTAAAAGTGAGATCTCCCAGTATTTGTTTTTTTGTTTCTGGCTTATTTCACTTAGCATAATATCCTCAGGGTTCATCCATGTTGCCAAAAATGACAAAATTTCCTCTTTTTTAAGACTGAATACTATTTCATTGTGTATGTATGTATATCATATTTTATTTACCCATTCATCCATCGATGGACACTTAGGTTGATTCCATATCTTGG